ATATGGCACTATTTGTAAATCCAAGATGGCGGGCACGATTTTTCAAATAATGGCAAGTTGGGTATCGCTTTCGAGGTATTTGGGGGTGCTCATTACGAATATTGCTTTTATTTGAACTGTCGGGTTTGCCATCTTGGATTTAGAAATGAGTCCCATATTTGTATTGAACATTCCCAAACATCTCGAAAACGATACCCAACTAGCCATTATTCGAAAAATCGCGCCCGCCATCTTGGATTTAGAAATAAGTGCCATATTCGAAACCTAAAACCGAAAATGCCATAAGCAAACATTAAAGAAAATAACTGTTAAAATAGATTAAAAAATCGCTTAAGAATGCTCCCCTTTTAAGAAAATAAAATATTTTAATATAAAATATTTCGCTTGAGTTACGAAAAGAAAGACATATAATAAGCTATCAAAGTTGTACTGGTGGTGCCAACACTATAGTAGAAACAAATATATACTGTAAATTTGTTGCAATATGTGCTCCAATTCAAATAAAATTAATATAAATAATTATTCAATAAAGCATGAACGCAGAGCCGTTAAAAGTATTATAAAATAATTAAGTGTCCCAATCACTTACAGGAGTTAACGAAAACATTTAATGTTTATTCGAGTAAATATTAGTTTAAAATGCGCAAATAAATCGAAATTACAGGCACCACTAAAATTTACGTAATATAATTATTTTGATACAGAATAGCAAAATGGGGAGAAAAAAAATTCGTTACTTTGCAACACTTTCGTATCTTGTTGCCGCGAAATTATTTTTCTGTTTTAGTGAATATTTACATAAAAATATGAGTTGAAACGCATTACTTACTTGTGGAATGCGATGTTAGTGTCTATTTTGTTTGTCTGTTGTATTTTTACACCCATTTACCGCACATTTCGTCATTTTTAGCAAAAAATTTTGGAGCTGTTCGCGGTGCAATATGACCTTGAGCACTAACAGCCCGCGCGCTCCTGGGACGCGTTTGGAACCCTCTAACTTGCCTCACTTAGCGTGTGCGGGCTAGGTTTCTATGCGTTATTATTCTAAGAAAATAAACAAAAACAGCACGTTAGAACTATATTTCCATAGACTTTGTATTTCATTATTTTAATTTACTAGCAGAAAATGAGTTTTTTTTAAATACTGTTTTATTTTACTTGCAATGTAGTTTTTACGGAAATGTATTAAAAAACGTCGTTTGATACACGTGCGGATTTGTCATTTTCACTTGTCTCGCGTCTTGACCCTCGCCTCTGGCTCGGGCCAAGAAGCCTCGAGCCTCGTGAATAATGACTAACTTCCGCACTTATATCAAAAATAACTATTTTATTATTAGGGCGCTCCTGCATCGCGAGCATTTTGTAATGTAACAACAATTCAAAAGCGAGCACTACAGCTGTAAGGGAGGAGAATCGTGTATGAATTGCGCAACACTTGTAAATCATTTGTTTAAGATGTTTGCCGGTACCTGTAGCATGCGCCGTACAAATCAATGACCTTTGGATCAAGCAGGACCAGGAGGTCTACACTCTTTCTTGAAAACGAAATTTCGTTAATGAACGATATTTAAACGAAGTTTCGTCAATAACTTTATCGGACCCTTTACAGGTCCCATGACCATGGTCAACCGTGACCATGGGACCTGTAAAGGGCCCGAAACGTCGGTTTGTTTCAAAAAATAAATATATTCGATTTAAATCCGGAAAAATAGTTTCATTTCCTATGTGTAACAATCGCGAAAACCTAAGAACTCGATAACTTTATTTCTTTTTCGGTCGGGCCCAAGAATTTCGTTGTCAACTACAATTTTCGTGAACGACTGGAATGAATGATATTGTATATATATTTTTTGATGTCAACTAACGGTTTTTACTTTAACTTAAAATTAATACGATTGCATTGCTTTGTTTTTAAATTTTACATTTAATATGTGGTTCATTAAGCATTTATTGTAATATTCATGTAGAAATTATAAAGAAACAAATAAAAATATATTTTTGACGTAATTAGCCGAGACACTATAAAATACTCATTGTTATCCGATTTATTTGAAGAGTACCGTTTTATGCAAATTATAGGTGGCAAAAGTATGACAACCAAAAATTTCTGTATATTAGAAGCTATGTTCTACAAATTGTTTTTTTTTTTTGTAAACTTATCGTACATAATATTTACAAATAAATATGAAAATGAAGGCATTTGAATCTCTCGGCGAGATTTCTCGTAATTAGGTACTATCTCGTAAAAAAAAGCAAAAACATAATGCAGTAAACAGATTTTATTTAATCAACTTGCACAATCTTTATTTCCATGGGTAGACCCTTAGAATAATAACGCATAGAATGATAGTTTCATATCAAACGAACTGTCACAAGTGAGGCAAAAATCAAATTCATGTAGACTAGTTTTAGTAGTAGGTTAGTTTTCGGTTTTAGTGAATATTTATATAAAAATACAAGTTGAAACGCATTACTTCCTTGTGGAATGTGATGTTAGTGTCTATTTTATATTTGTCTGACGTATTTTTACACTCATTTACCGCACATTTCGTCATTTTTAGCTAAAATTCTGGAGCTGTTCGCGGTGCAAGTTGACCTTGAGCACTGAAGGCCCGCCCGCTCGTGTAGGCCCTTTTGGCGCGCTTCAATTTGCCTCACTTAGCGTGTGCGGACTAGGTTTCTATGCGTTATTATTCTAAGGGTAGACCTTTATTTTGTACATGTTTTGTAAATTTACACTAACACTCTTGTTCTTCGGCCAGCATGCAGAGCAATGCAAATAATCAAAAGATTCAATTGACATACTAAATTTATCTTCATGTTTTCTTAAATCTTTGTAATAATCTTGAATGTTACATGCTAGTTGCATTCGTGACAGTCCATCGGTGGCATCTTTCAAACATAAATTAAAAGAGCACTACCTGTCGAACGCGTTACATAGCTAATAGGTAACATATTATAAAGTAGTAATTTGTTTAGATTATAATATTCTGCTTATGTTTGTATTTATGTATATAAAGTTCATGTAGGTGTGTATGTCTGTCGTATGTATATATTGTCATCCTTTATATACATATATATTATAAATTTTTTCTTACACACGTTTAAATTTTAATTTTATTGTACAATAATTTAGTCCCGCAGACTTCATTTTTCACCTAGGCTAGGGTTGGCTGGAAGAGATCTCTTCTAGAGATAAGCTCACCTTTGTATATGTCCTTTATAACTTGTGTTTCATGTATCTTTTCTTTGTGCAATAAAGAGTTATAATTAAGTTATCTTCGGTGTCTTTTTATTTGAGTAAACAAAAACCATATAGACAGTATAACTGCAGCGTCCTGAATGAGTTCTGTATTACTAACCATTCTTGTCAAAGAAGGATCTCAGCTACATGTACAATCACTACCGCGATCAACTGCGAAGCAAGTACTTTGAGTGACGCGGGGCCGCTAGACCGCTGCCCCCGCGCAGATTAAACCGCGCGTTGACGCAGATTCATTTCTTTTGAAAGTGTTAAGGGCACTATTTCTAGGCTCTACTCTTCGAATAGAAATGTGCAATGTGATTTGCAATAATAAGTTGCCGATTGAATCAGTAATTTCCTACAAACTGTAAGTCGGGAACTTCACATTTATAGGTAGTTGGTAGCACTGGCGCGTTGGCGGCGATGACGGTTTTTCCTACGCTCTGAACGTTCTACAGGCAGAGCGTCGATCAACGAAAGCATTGTTGCAGTTATTACAATGAAATTTTTAACAACATTTACAGTTAAGAAAATCAAAAGGTAGCACTTTTAGTTTCGTCAATTCGACATTCCGAAGAATTATCTGTCAAAATCAAATTTTCGTTCGGATGTTCATGAATTAGAGTAAGGCATTGACTTACAAATAAATGGACGACGGGTCTAATACAAAAACCACGAAAAAAATGTCCCAAGTCAACCTATTTAAACGTAGTGACATGTAAAGGAATATGAAAAAGCTAAAACGTTAAATTTAAATTGTAATGTCATCGCAGTACTGTCTAATTTTGCTTGCTTCGCTGTCAGTCGAACAAACGAAGACTAGAGCGTGAATGACGCTCTGTATACGATTTTAACGCCCTATAAGTTCAGACACTTTTTAGCGCGGACCCGACGGCGACGTCCGTATAATTGTAAGTCAATGGAGTAAGGTAACAAAAACTAAACGTCAAACAATTTTCGTTGCAAAACATGCGAAACTTCGATCAAAATTTAGTTTTTAATCGATGTTTACCGCAATTAAATAAATAATAAGAGTGAGGGATTTTTTTCGATTTTTTTGTGATTTGGTTTCAGTTTCGGATGTAGAATGACCTTTCTTAATATAGCGAGAATGAAAAACAACACATTGTATTACAACTATATTGTGTATTTATATTTTTGAAAGCGATACCATTATGACTAAATCTAACAAATTACGTACTTTTATTTTAATTAAAATAAAGGTTTTATTATCAATCCTATTTGTATTATACATTTTAATAAAAAATTATTGTATAAATATTTACGAAATTAATATGGATACATATATAAAAAAAACACCACTAGCATACTCACCACTGGTTGTAGTTTGTTTACTTTTCTCTGAAATAAATGTATATTTTTTTTAAAACGGTGTCATGATTACATAATATTTTTGAACAACAAGTATTTATTTTTGAAATATCTATTATTTACATGTATTCGAAAATATTACAACGTTTACATTTCATTGCCCGCACTGTAGGTACGTTTTGACATTTAAAAAAAATGGCTTCGTCTGACTCTTTTTACTTTGACATATATAACCAAAAATCTTGCGCGAGCTCGCCAGTGGAAAACTACGATTAAGGTGCTTTTCCATCAGCGAGGCGAGACGAGGCGAGACTAGAATCGAAATCTCGCCAGTCTATTTTCACCAAAAATTGACATAAATAGCTATCGCCAACCCTCTCTCGCGCAGTCGTTGTGGTTAGTGAAGATTCAATACTGTTAAGTTTATTTAGCGATAAACATGCGGCTGAAGTGACATGTCTCGTAAATTATTATTATTAAATATGTTAATGAAAGAAGCCATCTTGTTTTTAAATGAAAATCATACGTACATCACAATTTCGCGATTGATATAAACGGTTTAAATCTTCAAGTTCACCGTATCGAGGAGCAGTTGCAATTCCAGTCGTTTCGAGGTGATTTTGCAAGCCGACGTCTTGGCGTCTTGGTCATTAGCCAGCCACGCCAGCATCGACTGGCACTTGTCTTTAACGTGGCCCGTTCCCGCGCGATGCCCGATCCTGCAGAGGCGCTCCAGCTCGTTCCTCGCCTTGGCCACCTTTCGCCTGGCCTCGTCATCTTGCTTCATGGCTTCCGCCTCCAGCACCAATCGCGAGATCTCCTCTTCCGATAGCCGCCCTTTGTTACTAGTAATCGTTATCTGGTTTCTACTATTTGTGATGGTTTGCACCGCCGAAATGTGAAGGATTCCATCGGTGTTTATCTCAAAGGTTACATCCACAGTAGCTTGTCGTACAGGCAATGGTGGGATTCCAGATAAAAGAAATTCTCCCAATTTTTGGTTATCGGCTGTCATCTTTCGCTCACCTTCAAATACTTCAAACAAAATTTCGGTTTGGTTGTCCCATGAGGTGACAAAATTCTTGGTATTTTGAGTGGGGATGTGCGTGTTCCGGGGGATAATTACACTCATGATTCCTCCTTTCACTCGGATGCCGAGGGAAAAAGGGGTGACATCGACGAGAACCAGGTTAGTGATGATGTCAGAAGAATCACCGTTCAGGACAGCCGCTTGAATGGCTGCACCATGAGCGACGGCTTCGTCCGGATTTACAGACTTGTTCGGTTCTTTTCCGAAGAATGCCTTCACCATCTGCTGAACGCACGGGATTCGCGTTGACCCTCCAATCAACACTACATCTGCTATATCGTCTTTACTCATCAACGCGGAGCCCAACACTTGTTCCAAGATAATTTGGGTTTTCTGGAACAGGTCCTGGTTGAGCTCCTCGAAGCACAAGCGAGTGATGACCATATGCAAGTCTTCGCCGCGGTACAGAGCGTCCAGCACCACGGTGGCCTCAGTCGCTGACGAAAGCGTACGCTTTGCACGCTCACAAGCTGTTCTCAGCCTCCGTAGAGCCTTGTTGTCACTACATAGATCCAGCCCGTACTTCCTGGCGAACTCGCTGGCGCAGTGCTCTACCAGACGTGTGTCGAAGTCTTCACCGCCAAGATGCGTGTCTCCGGCCGTGGCACGGACCTCGAAGATGCTCTCTTCAATTGTCAATATGGTTACGTCGAAAGTTCCACCGCCCAAATCGAAAATTAGCACGTTTCGCTCCTCTTTCATGACATTATCGAGACCGTAAACGAGTGCGCCTGCCGTCGGTTCGTTGATGATGCGCTGCACGTTGAGGCCTGCTATGGTGCCGGCATCTTTGGTGGCCTGACGCTGAGAATCGTTGAAGTACGCTGGCACCGTCATCACAACGTTGCACACTGGTTTGCCTAGGTACGCCTCAGCCGAGCTCTTGAGAGCTGACAATACCATGGCGCTTATTTCTTCAGGGTAGAAGGTCTTGCGGTCGCCCATGAACTGGGCCTGGATCATAGGTTTGTCATTCTCGTTGATAACTGTAAACGGCCACAGCTTCATGTCTGCCTTCGTCACGGGGTCATCGAAGCGACGCCCGATCAGTCGCTTCGCATCTGTAACAACCGGTCAATTGGAATTGAGAACCACTTTTTGGAAGTGTTTTGTGACAATGAGTTTCGACTGGTGTCATACACCTGTGCACGCTACACCGCGTCGTATGTCCTAACATACATAAACGTTGCATGCGAATATCTAAAATTACAAAGGCAACCCCAAGAGGTTTTTAATTATACCTCTGAATAATTCCGCCAATATTAATAGAATATTTGCTCTGCAGAAACGTGCGGTTGGAGCAATTTACAACATGGCCCCCAGAGTGTCTTTAAGAGATAAGTTTAAAGAGATTAACATTCTTACACTAGCGTTACAGTACATTCACAAAAATGTTATTTATGTTAAAAAGAATAGTTTTTTTATTAAAAATAATGACAAGCATAACATTAACAAGAAGAATAAAAATAGACTAGCTATTCTTGACATCGTCTTCACAAAGTTACTAATTCATTTAAGGGGCAATGTAGGTGAGCGTGGGGGAATGGGAGCCTACTAAGGAAATTTGTATAAATAAATAATGAAAGTCGTAATTTATGCAATTTTATCGTACGTATATCTTCAAATATGGTTTCTTAAATAATGATAGCTCTAGCCTCCTTTTAAGCGTAGCCCGTGTCAGGAGGCACCGCTCTTTCTTAGGTACACGTTTCAAAAGAAACTTAATTAAGTAACTTAAAGTAAAGAAAACAATATTTTTATCTATTATTGTGTGTGAGTGGTGTGTGTGTGTGAGTGGTGTGTGTGTGTGTGTGTGTGTGTTTAGAGTGGCAATCTAGCAGTGTCTATGAGTATAAATAAACTAGTGGAAAAGTATCAAGCGGTTAAAATACCACAGTCGTTGTCGCCAAGCGCACACAATTGTACACGTAATCTTTCGTTAAATACTTAAGATAACATACTTTTCATTGGAAGCAATTATCAAACAAAATTAGGTAAATTATATGACCTTCTCGTAAAAAAATAATCTTACTTCGATTTGAACTTTCACGATACGAAAAATAACCTTGTTTGAATCCAGTAACGTTTTTTATTCATAAAGTCAAAACTGATCAACTACATCTATTTATAAACAACTAACAGGAACTATTTGCCTTAAGAGTTCCATTACGCAGCACTAGATGGCGTTGTATTCAATAATTCTAATGGAAATTTGAGCTTTGACACCATTGACTTACAAATAAATGGACGACGGGTCTAATACAAAAACCACGAAAAAAATGTCCCAAGTCAACCTATTCGAAATTTAAATTGTAATGTCATCGCAGTATCGCGCTGTCAGTAGAACAAATGAAGACTAAAGCGGAGTTTGGCGCTCTGTATACGATTTTAGCGCCTTACAAGTGCGGACACTTTTTAGCGCGGACCCGATGTCCATATAATTGTAAGTCAATGTTTGACACACAATTATGTTCAATTATGAACACCCTCTTCATGCTTCCATTAATTTGTCTATTCCATAGATACTATACCTATGGTCTATTCCGCAAGTAAACATAGAGCATTTATTCAATTCACATACCGAAAATAGTATTTTCGGGGTTGACCGTGGCCTGGGCTTTGGCGGCGTCACCGACAAGTCGTTCGGTGTCCGTGAAGGCCACGTACGACGGCGTGAGGCGGTTGCCTTCAGCGTTGGGTATCACCTCCACCTTTGACAATAAGAAATTTGCAGAATGTGTAAGTAAACGTAGGTATTATAGTTTATCGCTTTAGAAATACCAAAAATGTAAACAAATATGGCCGACATCTAATGATGACACAGTAACATTTTGATCGTTAAGCATTATTTTTAATTAAACCAATTTTTTCAGATATATTTAGTAAAAAATAAAATAATGTTTTGTGTGATAAGTAAAAAACCGCCATTGCTCCCGCCTCCCACCGCGCCCCACCCAAGACGTGATCAAGTTAAGGCTGACTAAAATACGCCAGAAGAGATTCTACCTTGCCATTTCTGAAGACTGCCGCACAGGAAAACGTAGTACCGAGATCGATGCCTATAGCTGGTGCTGTCATCTGTTGAACAAATTTGGTTATTTAAAATTTAATTAGAACACTTAGAAAAAATCCTTTGATGCGGCCGGATTCGAACCGGCGTCTCCTAGTAAACCGTGCCAGATGCTTTGCCAACTAAGCCACGGAATGAACCAGCGGACATCACGCATTTTTCTATGTGCTTGTTGTCGGATCTTTGCATTTGATTTTTAACGACTTTTAACCGTAGCGCCATCTCTGAGAAATCAGTGAAAGCATTTCCTAGCTACCTTTACAGCTATCAGCCCTGGCTAGAGTTGTCGCTATAAACTGTAGTTAAGTGTTTTATTGAATGTAATGTTTCACCACCATAATATTCAATAATTTTTTTTTGTGAAACTCGATTAGTTTGTTGTAATTATTAATACAAATACAGTCACACACTGAGACCGGCAACTTGTATCATATGGCGCCTTGGTCTACTGCAGTATTGTTCAAGGTCTGAGATGTGTGCTACGTTATGCAGTCAGAATATTTCGATGGAAGATTTCGTACAAAAGGCACATGGTACAAAACAATCTAGCCGATAATTTCTCATTTTTAATTAATAATAAACCGGTATTTGTGAAGAGATTTTCATGATTCTTTTTTTGTTGGAAAGGGGGTACTTCCATAGCGGTCCCATTTCGTTTTGAAAAAAATCAACCACCTCGAAGGGTGGCTGTTCACGCATGAAGATTCATTTTTATAAATAGCCCCTAACTTTAATTTAGGAGCAATTACTTTAATGGTTGATTTTGCTATTTCTCCAATTCAAGGCGTTTTTCTCTCAATATACTTTGAGTAGTGTCGTAGTGAGAACCTATTATTATTATCTTCAGTTTCAAGTCCTGTATAGTGGCGAACTAGGGGATATTTCAATAAAACTTAGCAAATAGACGTAATTCCACGTACTTTTGAGGTCGGTTTTTTTAGTACTCTATACTGAGATTATTCGTTGTTCAAGTGTGGTTAAAATCATCAGACAAGACCTGACTATCGCTCTCCGTCTACGCTCCGGTCACATCACATTCCATTGACTAGCTATGCGTTCATGATGCGGAAAGTTGGTCCGCCAGTATGTAACGAATGTGGGATTGTAGAAGACGTGTATCGCATAACAATGGGATGTAGCCAGGGCGAGGCCTCACCACCTCACACGTACGATCTCAGTAAGATTAATAGCATCCTGGCAGCTCCGACCTCTGAATAGGCTGAGCTATTATATGAATTAGTTAAGGAGACAATTAGGGTAAGAAATGTAACTAAAAAAACTAAGAGAGCCACTATGAGGGTGGCATTTGTAAAACTCTATAAACAAATAAAGTTAAAACCAATACTAAATGTCACATGTTAACAACGCAAGTTAGTGAAGCGGCTTAGCGTATGGACTGCAAGTTACCTCCTTCTGTGAAGCGGTGATGCTCCAGAAGGAGGTCACCGAGCGTCATTGGGAGAGGGCCGATTTCGGCCTTCCAGCGGGGACTCCGTTCGCCAGTAAGTTTGGCAGCCTCGAGGAGGACGACGGGGTGGTGTGGCCCGCTGCGTCGTGTGGAGGGGTGACGTAGGTGCTGGGGGGTTCCGGTGCGCAAAGCCGATCCTGGATCCCTCCCACTAGATCACCGTCGAAGGCCACCGCGGGGTTTTAGCCGTTAGAAGTCCGGAATAACGTTTCATTTTAAACTTGTAATATTATTGGCATAAGGTACAATTTTCGTTCACTACAACTTGCCCTAGGTGGGTATTATTACTAATGTGCAGGTTGGGCATGAATTATGAATAGTTTAATTAATCAAAACATCGTTGTTTTGACGATGCCGGTGTGCGTTGTGCCACGTGTTGTTCCCGTCTATTCTATTTTTAGTTACTTCAAAGTTAGCTTTCTTCTTAAGACATCGTTAAAATTCATTGTATCAGTAGAGCTTCTAGTGAAAGTGTTCGTCCAGGGAAGTACTGCTACTGTACTTATTTCTGTCCCAAAACAGTAATGTGAGCTTTACTGCGTTCCGTTTTTTAAAGGTATGGGTGTTAGTGAAACTACTATGGAAACTACAATATGTATTTAAAGAAAGAGAAAAATAAGACTGTAACAAAGAAATAAAATGATATAAAAAACGCGCAATTATTACAAAACACTCTATATTTGCTGACTAATAAAAAATACTATACGCACCCCAAACAGGGCCTACAAAACTATGTAATTTACTGGTAATCGATGTGCAGTTGTAATAGTTATTTTTGATACAAGTGCGGAAAGTTAGTCATTATTCACGAGTCTCGAGGCTTCTTGGCCCGAGCCAGAGGCGAGGGTCAAGACGCGAGACAAGTGAAAATGACAAATCCGCACGTGTATCAAACGACGTTTTTTAATACATTTGCGAAAAAACTACATTGAAAGTAAAATAAAACAGTATTTAAAAAAGTTAGTGAAAAAGGCGGGAATGTAAACGATGAAAAAAATTAGTACTTTTTATGGCCGACTTTTTTCAATATGGCAACTGTTGCCAGTATTCAGCCACATTAAAATTACTATTTTATATTACTTTATTTTCTACATAATCGCTACTAAGGAGCATTTACTTCATAAGTGTAAAAATGCGGTCTCTCCATAGATATAAGTAATGACGAATGACTTACGTCACAAAGCACATAAATATGAAATAAATATACAATCTCTTTAGTTGTATGTTTAAGACTTAAAACAACAGTAAATTAAAAAAAAACTGGAAAAGTAAAAAGCACTAGTGCGAGAAATCCAACTTTCCGCACGATTTGTAGTGCGAAAAATACCACGTTTTGAGCAACTGTATTAAAAAATGTATTTATGATAATTGACATGAATTGCGCTAATGGTACGTCTTCTTTTTTTAAGAATTTATATGGGAGTGAAGACGGATAGGACAAAAGCAAGAATAATCAAGGAAAAAGGAGTTTGAGAACGATTCAAAATTTTAAAAATAAGTGGCCAGGAACCTAAAACACAACTTCGTCTCAAGGTGATGGGTCTAGAGGCTATACCCTTTATAATAATCTTTGCGATTTAAAGGCACTTTTGTTATAACGAAACCATGCGAAAAACTTAATCAAACAGTTACCTGTGATTCTTCTTCTTACCCGCGATTATAGATTAAATAAGTATATATTTACCTTATACGTGTTCAAAACTTTTAAAATCACTTGACATGGAATTTAGTTTGTAAACATGTGCGTTCTGTAGTTCAAGAAAAGAATAAAAACGTGTAATAAAAAGATACGCAATTATCTATTTGATAGTGAAGTTATAATATTGTGCGATATACAGGATAAAGGGGTTTTTAATTAGATTTTTAGCTTATAATTAATTTTTAGTCTACTCATTGTGAGTGCAAAAGTGGCGCTCGCTTTAGAATAACGCTCGCGTAGTGTTTGTTGGGTTATGGAAAAATTTCCATTTGGAAAAAATAATGCTTTTCAGAAAAATTAATATTTTTTTGATATTTTTCTTTAATTTTCCACATTTTTGATGTTGACAGTTGTCAAAAGTTTAAGTTAAAAAGGTTGTTTTCGCTGTTGCGAAACCATTTTAAATCTCGTTTTTATCCTATTGGCTTGTTGCTATACAAGTTTATTTTATAATTCACTCTAAATAAAACACCAAAAGATATTTATGATACACTGCCTCGTAAACGATTTCGTGGAGCACTTGACGCGGTGAATTCGATAATAGAAATGAAAAAAATATCGATTCGAAAGTAATGTTTATGGTGTGCGTTGGATTTTTTTGGACACTGTACTTTGGACCGTTTTTATCGTAAGCGGCATAGAGTTGGATTTAAATCTTAAGAGTCAAGCTTGTTGTGCTCTTGTCCCTGTACCTTGACAGAAGGGACTGCTTATCGGTAACGCCTCCATTGCTATATGCTCTAAGATTTAAATGATCTTTTTAAATTCGCAAAAAAATCTAAACGGTCATCTTTTTTAATGTTTGATCCTCTTTCTCGGAAAAATAAAATAAATTAATCTGTTCTGCGCTACGCAAAAAATGTTTGATATGTATAAATTAACTTTAATAATTTTATCTTGGGCCTCAAAAATAAGACAAATGAGCATTAAAAATAAAATTGAGATACTTATTTTTAATACTAAGTAAATGTTGATTATATTAGTACACTAATATTATATTCATTACAACATAATTTGAACTCACAATATGTTCGGAAACGCAAGCAAACTGGCTTCCTCTTTTTCAATTACTAACTTAACCTAACCCACTAAATGGTGGGCGCACACAATCAACCAAGACTTATTAGGAGACCAATATCAAACGATATACTGGTTATAAATGTTATCAATCGTTAAAAGAAAAGATAAGTGTTACCTTAGTGCGGGCTATGTTGAGTGTTGAGTGTGTGCGTTACCTTGAATGCATTTCATTTATAATTTATCCGTAGATCAACTAATACGGATGGAACAATTTATTTATTATCATAACAAAAATATCGTTTATTTAAAAAAGTGCACATTTACAATAGATCAATTATTTCTTTGAGGATCAAATAATATTATCCGTAATAATCATTGACGTACAATTATATGGACGTCGGGTCCGCGCTAAAAAGTGTCCGAACTTATAGGGCGTTAAAATCGTATACAGAGCGTCATTCACGCTTTAGTCTTCGTTTGTTCGACTGACAGCGAAGCAAGCAAAATTAGACAGTACTGCGATGACATTACAATTTAAATTCAACGTTTTAGCTTTTTCATATTCCTTTACATGTCACTACGTTTAAATAGGTTGACTTGGGACATTTTTTTCGTGGTTTTTGTATTAGACCCGTCGTCCATTTATTTGTAAGTCAATGCATCTGGCAGATCCGTGCGCGTATATATCCTCTCCACCTGGCTGACAAGGATGCAAAGTATCATTCGACCATGTCATTTGGATACTTTCAACATAGAATAGAATAGAATAGAATACGTTTATTTGCCAGAATACAGTAATTACAAAGGTCTTAAGTAAAATTAGG